GCGTGTACCCCGGGCACAATTCGGATTCGCCAGACTATCTCTTCCTCCATCCTTCCACCAACAAACTCTACCGCAGCCAGGACGTGTTCTTTGATGAGTCTCACCCTTTCTATCCCTCCTCCAAGGCTTCCCCCTCTCCTCCCCCTCCTTCTCTTACTTGGGCTGACTTTGACAGTCTCCCTCCTCTAGCCTCCATCTCCTCCTCTTCCTGCTCCCTCCACTGTTTCTGACCCGCCGCCACCCACTTCCCCCTCCAGCACCACGCAGTCTCCTCCGCTCCTTCCCTCCCCCTCCCCTCCTCCTGCTCTGGCTCTTGCTCCTCCTCCCGCTCCTCCTTCCGAGCCTCCTCCTCTTAAGACCTACCACCGTCGTCCTCCGGCCCCTGCCCCTCCCGTTCCTGCTCCGGCTCCTGCTCTTGCTCCAGCCCCTGATCCTTCTCTTGCTCCCACTGCCACCTCCGATACCGATGCTACTCCTCCAGCTCCGCCTCCCTCCCCCATCGCTTCTCGCACACGCTCTCATAACACTCCGAAGCCGCTCTCCCTCTCCGTTCGCATCTCCCTCAATCCTCCTCCTGTCGGGGGTGATTATTCTCTCATGCCCTCCCTCCTTGAAGACAGACATGAGGAGTTGATTGATATCGACTCAGCCATCCACGCGCTCTGCTTCCTCTTTCCAGATATCGCAGACTCTCCCACTCTCAATTTCTCCGACAACCCCTCCATTCCCACACCTCTCACCTATGCTGAAGCAGTCTCTGGTCCTCACGCCGCCCAGTGGTTGGAGGCCATTGTCGCAGAATGTGAGGCCTTCGTTCACACAAGAACTTTCACAGATGTCTCTCCTCCCTCCGGCGTCAACATTGTGAAGGGCAAATGGGTTTTTCGGGTGAAACAACTTCCAGGCGAATTTCCAGTCTTCAAAGCCCGGTACTGTGCCAAGGGATTTACCCAAAAGCATGGACTGGACTTCTTTGAGACATTCTCTCCCACCGCCAAACCTCCCACAGTACGCACCCTTCTCGATGTTGCTGCTCGAGATGACATGGAGGTTGACTGCATGAATGTGTCTTCCGCGTTTCTGCAAGGGATCCTTCGAGAGGAAATCTATAGGGAGCGCCCCAAAGGATTTCCAGCTCCTTTTCCACCAGGCACTGTATGGAAGCTGAATCGGCCAGTGTATGGCCTCAAGCAAGCACCCCGAGAATGGCACAACAAGCTCAAGAGCACCTTAGGGTCCCTCGACTTTCACCCATCCACCTCTGATCCCAGCCTCTTCATCCGAGCCATACCATCCCGCTTCTTCGTCCTCGTTTATGTGGATGACATGATCCTTGTCACCCAGGATCCGACTGAGTTGGGAAGCTGACGAACTATCTGGGCATGGAAATCACACGTGATCGCACGGCCCTCACCATCACCCTCTCGCAGAAGTTTTACATCAACAACGTTCTGATGAGGTTCAAGATGCAGGAAGCAGCATCAATGCCTACCCCACTCTCTCTGCAGCACCAACTCACTGCACCCTCTGTTCCCACACCCGAGCCCTGTGACGAGCCATACCCTGAGCTCGTTGGATCCCTCATGTACGCGATGATTTGCACTCGACCAGACTTGGCATATCTAGTCAGTGTACTGTCCCGCTACGTGGCACCTGGTCTGTACACTCACCACCACTGGTCTGCCGCCAAGCGGGTCCTTCGCTATCTCAAAGGCACACAGGATTATGTGCTCACACTTGGCGGCTCTTCCCCTGTTCGCCTTGAGGGGTACAGTGACTCATCCTACGCTGATGACCAAAGTGATCGGCGCTCTTCCCAAGGATAGCTTTACCCTTGGCAGTGGGGTTGTCAGTTGGCGCTCCACTCGGTCATCCTCAGTCTCGCTGTCGACCTGTGAGGCAGAGTTGTATGCCGGGACCATGGCTGCCCAGGAGGCTCGTTGGCTCTCCTTCCTGCTGACAGAACTGGGGTATCCTCAACCAACCTCGAAGCTTTGGTGTGACAACGAGAGCACCATTCATCTCACCAAGGACCCCGTTTTCCACGGCCGCACCAAGCACATTGAAGTCCGTCACTTCTTTCTTCGTGAGCTGGTGCAGCGGGAGCAGCTGAAGCCTGAACACGTTGCCTCCGACTGCAACCTTGCTGACTTGTTTACCAAGTCGCTTGTTCGGCAGGACCATTACCGCCTCCTCTCGGCCATGGGTGTTGGGCCTCCTTGTGGCTGATGTGTTGTAGCCTAGGGGTGTGTTACAACATAGGCTGCCAGCCAACACTTTGTGTACTATATTCTATATCGCGTAGGTTATTTGCGGGTTGGGTGTAGTTTGTCATCCCAACCCTATCTGGTTGGGATTCCCTCGTAATCCTGCAAATCTGCCAACTCACCAATTGGAGATTTGCTAGGATTCCCTTCCCATCCTTTCCCTAGCTTTGCTCAACCCAACCTTTGTACTTAAGGCCTAGTGCCTTCTCTACTAATCAATCACTTAAGCTCCATTTCTATCACCTTTTACTGTCCAAGAGGCTTTGTCGGGTCTCCATGCCGCTGAGTAGTGTGCTGCCATGAAAGCTTTGCGAAGCCTTCATTTGCAACCACTCATTTGACGACGTGATTCCACCTTTAGGAGTCAACATCGTCGGAGGCAAGTGGTTGTTCCGAGTGAACCATCTCTTCGACGAGGCTCCTGTGTGTAAGGCGCGGTATGTAGCCAAGGAATTCACTCAAAAATAGTAGTTGGACTTTTTTGAGACCTTTTCTCCCACAACCAAACCTCCCACAGACGCACGCTCTTCGACGTAGTGCTCGCAATGACATGGAGATCAACATTTGAGCATTTCTGTAAAGACACCTCAATGAGATCGTCTTCATGAATCGTCCCGAAGGCTTTCCGGGAGAGTTTCATTCTAGTCTCCAAGGGCGCAGATAGGATGAGTTCAGTCCAGACGGGGCTCTGAGCAAAGCCCTCTTGGTGAAGCACCTTGGTGACCTCAAGCATTTCCTAGGGATGGCGATCCTTCGTGACCGCCAAGCTTGCATCGTCATGTGATTTTACATCAACAACGTTCTCAAGCGGTTTCAGATGGGCTTCTGCACGGCCATTGCCACCCCACTGCCGCTGCAGCACCTTCGCACTGCTCTAGCTACACCCACGCCCAATGCCTGCTCCGAGCCTCACCTCACTGGATCTACAGAACCCAAGCCACCCATAGACTTTCACAGATCTCGACATTGAGCTAAGCCCAACTATACATAGGCGTCGAGGCGATTTACTCACCTCGACTCGTACGAGTTACTCATTCAGGGCCGAGCGACGAGTACGGGATTTGGCTGAGAATGCTCGGCCGAGTCGGGGCGAGTATTATTAGGCAAGTTTATGTGCTCGTCGAGCACTCAGCCTCACTGACGAGAATTTTCTTCTACTCGGGCAAGGTTTTCGTGCTCGGCGAGTTTTTAAACTCGTCAAGCATGCAGGAATCTCGTCCCATAACACAACAGAGAAATCTGCGGGAAAGGTTGGGTACCAATCTGAGAAGCGTATTTGTACCCAACCACAGCAATTTCCACCGCTTGCGAAATTGCCGAGAGGGTGAAATTTGTCATGCCTTGCCGGCGAATCACCTGTGATCGAGTCGAAGTGTTTGCGATTTGTTTTTGCGAAACAGTTTAAGCGACTCATATCTCCTTTCTTTCCACCCCAACCCCCCCACATCTCGACAGACTTAGCTACCGCGCTCGATTTGTTACCTAGTTTCGTAGAGTAGTTAACTTAGTAGCTGGCTGATCGCTTAGCATGTTTTACCTCGGCGTCTTAGGAACGTTTCTAATTCGATCAAACTGAAACAAGTCGCAACCTTTCGCTAAGATACAAGTAGAGCATTGTGCCGAGGAATGCAACCTAGACATGTCTTTTGGGAAATATGCAAGGGTTGACTTTGCAGTTACAAGGCAGCGGGCCGAGTATTATGTGAACTCGAAGGAGCATTCAGAAAAGCTCGTCCGAGCTTCATTGAAACTCGTCTAAATAGCTGAGTAAGGAGTATGCAATATAGGAAAACTTGCTCGACTAGGGGCAAAACTCAGACGAGTTTGACTCATCTGCTTGCACATGTATAAGCCCAACCCTACCACCATCTTTCAGCCCTTACCTATTCCCCTCCACCCTAATGTTAGTTTAACAACTAGATTAGATCTTAACGCTGTTGTAATATTGTATGCTGAACAACATCCATACGCTAGATTATAGGGCGTAGTCATTTGTTCCATTAGGGGGTTGTTGGATGCACCCTCCAACCACAACAGTGTTTGTCAAGATTGGTTGTTGTTCTTGGCCGCTGGATGGCACTTGCCAGCCCTTGGTCCTTACCTGCACCCGTTCCAACCAACTCACAGTTGTGGTTGCTTGGGCTACAATCAAACTCACCCATTGGCCAACTTAGTGGCCAATAGACTTATCTTCTTTTACACTCCTCTCTTGCTCCTTGCTTGTAAAATAGAGCCTCTTGTCTCATTAATACAACCTCTTTTCTTTTTAACAAACGCTTCGGTACAGTCCCCAACCAGCATGTACCCGGGCCCAAACATGACAACGGGCGAGCACCTTAGTTGGGAAAGACGCAGGGGACAAACTGCGTCCTGCGTCTGGACGCAGCGTCCAGACGCTAAGACGCAGGACGCGCGTCCAGACGCAGGATGCAACTCGATTTTTTTTCGGGCTGACCCGGAAAAAAAAAATCCCGAAACGCGAAATTGACATTCGCGATTTTGACGCGAATGTCAATTTCGCCAAAAAACGACACCCCAAAAGCAACTCGACATTGAAAACAGCCCGCCCCCCCCCCCCCCCCCCCAACCACTCTACATCTAGAACATCCAACCTTCCCCCCTCCAACCAAACCCATTTAGGGTTGCACACATCTCATTTGGCCTCACTTCATTCACAACCACAATTCTCTTTTGTAAACCCTTAAGGTTTAGGCTTCCTAGTGCAACTCCGTTATGGCTTCCTCCTCCAATCCTTCGTCTTCCACCGCATCTAAGGATATTAATGCCGACGACGACCTTCCCCCCAAGCGGTTCACTAAGGATGGGGTGGAGAAGAAAACGCAAAACCCTACTCACCGTATTTATAGGCATTTTTGGACATTCGATGATCCCACTAAAAAGGGGAAGCAGTGCGAGTGCCTTTGGTGCGAGAAACCATTCGCCTTTAGTAGTAGCCGCTGCACCCAGCATCTCGCCGTATGGAATGACACGAACGTTCATCGCGAGGCGGGGCATGTGTGCGAGAAGATTCCGAAGCGCATTTCCGACGGCATTCGCGAAGTGAAGGAGACTAAAATAACGGCGCGCAAGGATAAGGAGAGGGCGACGGAGGCGGCGATAACTGCAGTGAGCGGAAAAGGCGGTGCGGGACCGAAGGCGAAGAGGGGACGGATGGAGGACTGGTATGGCGAGGGGGGGATGTCTGCGAAGCGTGCGGCCGACGATTCAATTTGCCTTTTCATTGCGGGTACGCGCACGGCGGAGGTTGTGTGCGAGCACCCCCTCTTCCTCAACATGCTGCGCGCCTTTAACGCCGCCGGACCCGGCTACGTCCCCCCCTCGCGTGACTTCGATGGCGGCGCCGGCCTGCTGGCGTGCAAGCAGGGGATTGAGAAGGGATTGGCGCCCGTCTTGAAGACTTGGAAGGAGACTGGCGTGACGATCGCCAGCGACATGATGACGGACAAGACCGGGCGCGCGCAGATGAACATCGTCTGCATCAACGCCAGCGGTGCGGTTTTCCATGAGGCGGTTGACTGTAAGGCGGAGACAAAGACGGGGGCGTTTATCATCCGCGTCCTGCAGCCGGTCATCGAGAAGGTTGGACCGGAGAACGTCGTGGCGATTTGCACGGACGGCGGCAGCAACTACGTGTCCGCCGCCAAGATGCTGCAGAAAAAGTACCCGCACATCGAGATCGTCCCCTGCGCCACTCATGTGCTCGACCTGCTGATGGAGGACTGGGGCAAGATGGATTGGGCGGCGGAGGTCGTGCCAGTGGCGACCGACATGATCACGTTCCTGCGCAGCCACACGTGGCCACGTGCCTTCCTGCGGTCTCCCGAGCTGCACGGCGAGAAGAAGTCGCTGCAGCCGCTGCGACCGGCGGGCACGCGCTTTGGGACACAGTACATCGCTGTGTCACGTCTGCTTGCGATTCGCCCGCAGCTGATGCAGATGGTGGTGTACAAGGACTGGGAGGAGAAGGGGAAGAAGCAGCAGACTGGAAAGAACTTTGAGGCATTGGTGTTGGATGTGGACTGGTGGAAGAAGGCGGGCACCTTTGTGAAGGTGATGGAGCTGCCGTACAAGGTGATGAGGCGGACGGATGGGCCGGCAAAGGGGATGATGGGGGGGTTGTACGACATGATGCTGCAGCTGACGGTGGAGTTGTCGGCGCTGTTGGAGAGCGCGGATTGTGGTCTGCCAGCGGCGAATAAGGAGGGGTTGGAGGAGCATTTGAGGAGGCGTTGGGACGAGAGTTTGGCTTGCCCCCTTCACGTGGTAGGCCGGATTCTGAACCCGGCCAACCAGGACGAGGGGATTTACCTCAAGGACATTGAGTGCACCAGGGTGATGAAGGCTTGGCTGTCACGCTCGCGGGCTTTCGTCGACAAGTACTGGAAGACGGACAAGGAGACGAAGGGAACGATGAAGGCGCTGCTGGAGGGGATGCTGGCGTATATTGAGGGCACGGGGTGCTTTGGGACAGAGGAGGCGCTTGAGGGGCGTGCGGAGCTGAAGGCAGGGAAGGGGGGCATGGTGAAGTGGTGGAAGCTGAACGGGTGGGAGTACGCCGAACTGACAGGCCTTGCGATGCGTGCGGTGGCACAGCCCGTTTCCGCCTCTCCGTGCGAGAGCGGTTGGGCTGTGTGGGATGGGGTGCACACGGCGCGCAGGAACAGGCTGGGGTCGGAGAAGGTGCGCGATCTGGTGTTCGTGGCGCACAACTGGACTGTTGTGCACGGCCACCACCAGGGAGCAGCTGGTGCAGGGCCAAGTGGGGAAGTAAGGAAGGCAGGGGTAGTGAAGGGGAACATTCCCACCCCTCCCCTCCCCAAGGGGTACAAGTTGGAGGAGGATGGGGAGAGGGAGGTGGACGAGGACGACCCGTGCGTCGACGAGTACAAGGACGAGGAAGACAAGGAGGAAGAGGAGGAGAAGGAGAGCGAGGAGGATGGGGATGATGAGTGAATGGTTGCCTTGTTGCAGTGGTAGTGTAGTATGCATGTTCTTGTGTGGATGGATCATGGATTAAATGTGTGACCTTGGGACAAGTGTGACGTGACGCACCTTAAAACCAGGGTGCACATTCAACGCGGTTCGGCTTGAGATGTTGGGAAGGGGGTTTGGAGAAAAACAGTGATTGGCTCACGAGGGGCGACAAAAAAATGATTCCGCTAGAGCTTCGGGCATTTCGTAGGTGGCGGGAGGGGGTGAAATGGCAAGTGTGGGTGAAACCGAATGGCGGGAGGGATGAAACAGATTGGCGGGAGGGGGGGGAAACGAAATTGCGGGGGAGGGGGGAAACAAAATTGCGGGGGAGGGGGGAAACGAATTTCGACGGGGAGGGGGAAATGAAATTGCGGGGGCGTGGGGAAACGAAATTGCGGGGGAGGGGGGAAACGAATTTCGACTTGAAGGGGTTGAAAGCACACCTCGTAACCCACTCAGTCAAGGGATAACCTTTGATGCACATTCAGCTGAATGTGCACCCCGGTTTTAATCTTGAATGTTGGGGGAAAAATTGTTGGGGAAAAATTAGCATTGAAAGTGTGGACCGCCCCCCCCCTACTCGTGCCCTGTATCTGGTTTTTTTGCCTGCCCGGGGGTTTTTTTGCCCTGCCCGGGCATGCGTCTTTTGGTGCGTCTTTCGGGTCCAGGTGGGGCGTCCTGCGTCTGGACGCATGCGTCCAGGACGCAGGACGCGTCTTTCCCAACTAAGGCGAGCACCAAACATGTTCGGTTCACTCTGCACGAACATGTGAAAGGTGCGAACCAACGTGTTCGGTTCGCCCGAACAGTTTTGGGTGATTAAGGGTGTTCGAGGTTCATGATAGGGGGCAAACATCTGCATGTTCGGGGCGAACCCGAACATTTTCGGGTTCGAGAGTGTGTTTTCAGTGTGCCAGCTCCTCCCCTCTCCCTCTCCTCCCTCCCCCCTCTCCCGCCCCCCCCCCTCTCCCCCCCCCTCCCTCCCCCTCCTCCCTCGAGATGCCCACCGAACATCGAACATGTTCGGCCGCATATTTTTTGGCAAAGGCATGTTTGGTTTGTCTCGAACATGTTCGAGGTGAACCGAACAGGTGTTCTCCCTTTTGCTCATGTCTACCCCGACCGATTTCTTGAGAAGGGCCCGATTCCGAGGTGGGTCAAATATTGGGTCAAAATCTGACTTGACCCAGCTTGATTTCTGAAATCGGGTCACGGGTCGACTTGACCGGGCCCGGCCGGGTTGGCGTTGGGGAAGGTCGGCCCGGCCCGGGCAACAAGTTGGGTCAGGCCGGCCCGGGCCAGGTCTTCTGCTCATGCCTAGACCCAACCTGTCTCGGTTTGTTTTTTTTCCTTGGAAACTGGACATGTTTTTGTGGTGCACCGAGTGTGTCCTAGTGGGTAGTTTCGCCTATAGTCGTAGAGGTTATGGGTTCACTTCTCAGCATGTGCACTTTCTCCTCTCATTATGCTCACTAGTCATGTACCTTGTACCATATTCCTGCTAAGGATGTTATCTTCTCATTGTGGACTGAAGTTCACGGATTTGTCACATCATATGCAGTCAGTGCATATGTTATAACAGTAGAATGCAGGTGTAGTTATGATGCTGAGATAAGGACTATATGTGTAGGAAAGCTTATACAATGATACTAGCATAGGGGTGTAGAATGTAGCGATATGACGGTTGTAGAGGAGTGTAGAAGGGGGGAACCGAATAGAAGCGGTTGGAATCACGGGGGAAAAGGGACGGAAGGGCGAATTGTGAAATCAGGGAACACCAATCCCGAGCCGCACATTTGGGAAATGTGCAGCTTGGGGCTGGGTAAGGTCCCTCACACCCACCCCTTCTTTGCCGTAGGCTTGTTATTCTCTCGAAGTAGTGAAGATTGTCATCTAAGCTCTAGCACACCGTGGCACGTCACTAAGAGAGGAACCTACGGGGTGAGGGATTGAACTCTTTCATAACAAGCCTACGGGCTGAACCGGCGCAAGTATGGATAAGTACGAGCTGCGTTGGGGTAGGATGTTTAGCCGTCGCGAGGAAGAACGGCCGCGAAGCGAGCCGTCACGCGAGCGAGGGCGATCGGTAGAGAGATCGCCACGGAGGCCAGCCTTCCGCGCAGATCGAGTTCCCTTAGCCAGTGACCGTCGGGAAGAAGCAGCGACGGGCGAGGGAGCAGGCAATGCGGGCCGTGGCGGAGGCGGAGAGAGAGACGCGTGGCTGCGAGAGCGATCCCGCGGAATCGACGGAGGCGGCGGATCCCGCCGCGAGGAAGGGAGGTTCCGCTCCCCAGAGGGGCGAGGACGGCGACGCGACGAACGCGGCCGTTGGCAGGGCTTCGGGGAATTTCCCCGGGAACGAGAAGGACATGCGCGCGGCGACGGCCACGCGGAGGGCGCACCGAAAGGCACGGCGCCAGAGGTGGACGGAGCACTAGACGCACAGGCGGACGAGGAGGGCCAGAGGCTGCAGGATGAAGGCGCCGAGGAGGGAGATGGCGACGAAGACCAGGCCGCGGACTTCGACGAGCACGCCGAATACGCCGAGCACGCCGAACACGCACAGGCGGACGAGAACGCTGGCGCGAGCCAGGCGGAGGGATCTCACGGCCGAGGCGCCAGCCGCGGGGAAGAGCAGCACGCCGAAGACGCGCTTCAGCAGGAGCGAATGGCCCAGGATGAGAGGGAGCGCGAGACGCGGAGACAAAGGCAGCGTGGCGGAGAAAGGGCGGAGCGGTTCCACGCGCCAGAAGGAGAGCCGCGGCGCGGAGATGGGCGTGGGGGGGATTCCCGGGCGCACGACCGACGAGGAGAGCAGGGAGATTGGAGTGGCGGCGGCGGGCACTCGCTGGAGCGGCAGCAGGCGCGCGGGAATCGGTGGGAGGATGAGCCGCGCTCTCCAGAGACATACGGGCGCCCAGGGAGGAGAGGCCGGGCGGAGCAGTGGTCGCACGAGCAGCGCGGGAGCCAGCCAGTGGAGCGCGGCAGCGCGATACGCGGGCAGGAGCGGCCAAGGCAGAGAGGGAGGAGGGACAACAGCGGGTCCCGTTCGCCAGAGGGGCGTCGCCAGAGAAGGGGCAAGGAGGAAGGAGAGTGGCACTCGCCTGAGCACCGCCAACAGCGCAGCGGACGCGGGGAGGCCTGGTCACCGTCGCCAGAAAGACGGAGGCACCGCGAGACGAGCAGAGGAGAGGGGCGGAGGATGCATGGCCCGCCAACACAGCAATGGGCTCGGGCAGAGGAGTGGGGAGGGCCAAAAGAAAGGCCTCGCGCGGCGGAGTGGAGTCGGCCAGAGAGTGGGAGCCTACTGTACGGCGCGGAGCGGGCACGTGAGGCCAGAGAGGGCATGTTAAAGGCAAGGGCGAGAAGGGCGGGGAGCAGTCGGCCGGGTGGATATAGCGAATCGTGGGGAGAGGGGCGGGGGGGTGCTGCTGGCGCGCCTCGAGTGGAGGTGCCCGCCAGGTTCTCAGGAGACCAACGCGCGGGGCCGACCCTCAAAAACTACTTGATGCAAGTGGGGAATCTGCGGTATCGCTGCGATAGGCACAATGTAGACCCCGTTGACTTTTTCCTGAGCTTACCCAACACGTTAGAGGGAGAGGCAGAGACGCTGTACCGCATGCGGATGGAGGAATTGCTATGGAGGGCAGGGAAGTATGGGGAGGACCCCACCGAGGCGTTTATGGGGCGGCTACAGCGGCAGTTCCCAGGGCATACGGCGGAGCGGATAAGGGAGTTCCAAGAGTTCCGGAGGGGACGGGCGGAGTCACTGCTGACCTACTACAACAGGTTGATCAATGTGGCAGAGGACGTGAAGTGTGAAGACAACAGCCTGCTCATTAGCAAGTTCTTGGGAGGCTTGGACGAGGCACTGGGGGGGGGGCTGAGGATGAGGGTATATGAGTTAGGGGTAGAGGCGGCTCTGGAGGAGGTGTTCGAGTTGGCTGAGAAGGTAGAGCTGGCGCAGCGGAAGTATGAAGCCTACCTCCCGAAGCCGACAGAGAGAAGCCGCAGGCCAACCTGGGCGGCAGCCATGATACCTGAGGAGAAGGGGAGGGTAGACCCGCGAGGGGAAATGCGAGCAGATACCCGCACTTGCCACCGCTGCGGGCAGGTGGGGCACCTCCGCAGGGACTGCAAGGTTTGCGATGGCTGCGGGAAATCAGGGCACCGAAAGAGAGAATGTCCAGATTCAGCCAGGTGCGAGATCTGTGGGAAGAAGGGGCATGATGCCAAGGACTGCTATCAGAAGGAAGGGGGAGTGAGGAGGAATCCAGAGGAGCTGCAAAGGCAGATCAGCAGGTTACAGTCTCAGCTGCAAGCCATGGGGCCGAGGTGGGAGGCCGAGGCAGGGATGTACGCCAGGGATGACGAAGGGGAGGAGGTGGAGCCGGATGCTCAGTGTGCTCTGATGGCATGGAGGGGGAGAGAAGAGATGGGGCTGCGGAGCGGGGGACGGGATGCCAGGCAGGAACACGGCAGGAAGGAACGGGAACGCGGACACAAGCCCGACCCCGTGGCGCAGGAGAAACCCCCTGCCCGCCACCCACAGGAGAGACTGGCATGTCAGACTTCGGTACTACTGGTGGGGGCAGGAGCTATGGAGGTAGGGGGGAAGAAGGTGAAGACGGCCATCATTGACACAGGGGCACAGAGTGTGATGTTGGGCAAGGGAATGGCAGAACGGCTAGGACTGATGGCCCCAGAGAGGCAAGTGGCAAAGGGCATGTTGGTGATGACAGCAGAAGGGGGGGAGCCGAAGTGGATGCCATGCACACGGACACCCATAGAGCTGACCCTATTGCCAGGAGGGGAGCATGAAACCCGGATCAGGATGAAGTGCGGAATTTCAGAGTCCGAAGACTTTGATGTGTTGGTAGGGACAGAGATGGTGTTTGCGGTGGGCATGAGCATTTGCACCTGGACAGAGAAGGTGGAGTTTCGTACGAGGTATTGGAAGGAGGGGCCCTTGGGGCAAC